TGCACCCTCACACTGAGGAGGATCTATACTGGGACTGAGCATATCCCAATAGTGTTTTAGCCTTTTAAGCAGTTCACACAATATCCATGAGGAGAAGTGAATGGTTCCCACTGTGGACTCTGCTGTCTTATTGAATAAGACCCTTGCAGCCCTGCTGGATGATTACTAGTGTTAAAGGACCCTGCGGACAAAAATTGCGAGTCTCCCTTAAAGATGTCGTCCTTTTCTCGTGCTGTCATACAACCTGCCATTGCATCCATGTGGTTTTGTCAAACCTTGCTGGTTTGGGGAAACGGCACAGCAAAAGAACCCTGGCCCCCAAAATCTAGTTTGTCCTATACAGAATCTGGAGCTCTTTTTGATTGGGAGATTCGCTGCAACAGTTTTCTTGCCTGGGACTTATGTTCATATGTGTTCATATGTGGCAGGTACTACGCCTAAAATACTGGTCAGCAGAGCACCCCCGCAAGAAGCACCTGGAACATATGCCTTTCGAGGACAAAAGCCTCTGGAAATGCCTTGGATGTGTTTGTCCAAAAGATTACGGGGGAAAAAAAAGCATTCTTTTACCCCTGAAGAAGTAGCCTTGTTTTCTGTGCTGAACCTGTTGCACTTTCAGGGGCTAAATGCCTCTGCTCCATTACCTTTTCATGGTGCCCAGGCCAAATGGGGATGTATGACCAGTTTGGGATCTAAAGCTCTTGAACAAGTTTCTGTATGTTGAAAAAGTTGCATATGGAATCTGTGCGGTCAATAATTGCATTTCTCCATCAGGGGGACTTCCTGGCCTTGGTGAACATCAAGCACACCAACTCATAGTCACTGTGTGCATTTTGCGGTGGGAGAGCAGCCTTTTTCAGTATGTGGCTCTTTCCTTTGGCTTGGCCACAGTACCCTGGCACATGTGTTCCTGCCCCAGGTAAAGCTTCGGACTCTCTGGTCCATGGTATGGGGACTATGTTCCCTAGCTACTCCCTCTATATGCTTTTGCATTAGAGTGCTAGGTTTGATGATAGCCTCCTTTGAAGCAGTACCATATGCTCAGTTTCTTTCAAGACTGTTGCATCTCAAAATCCTGACAGCAGGGGACAAATGGACTGTTTCCGTGGAATACCCCATGCATTTTGAACAAAAAAAAACTTATTCTTTCAATGGTGACTTTCTAACCTGATGCTGGAGGAGAGGAAATCCTTTCCCCCAATGATGTGGAAAGTACTGAGAATGGACTTCTGCCTGTTAGGCAAGGGTAGAGGCCTGAATCTCCTGTCCGTTCAGGGGACATGGTCCTGAGAGGAAACTTAGATGCCAATCAATGTCGTGGAGATCAGGGCAAATCCGCTTGTGCTTTAGCACTGGAACCCCCCCCCCCCCCCCCCCCCCAACCTCTCTCCCCACTCCAGGGACTCCTTGTTTGGATCCAAGCCGACAAGGCCCTGTTGGGAAATACATCAAGATCATCAAGACAGAACCAGGAGTCCAGCTGCTTTTCAAGAAGCTGAGCTCATTCTGACTTCATGCTCTAGCCCTGTGCATAGTACACATCCCGGGTGTGGAAAATTGGCAAGCGGACCTCTTAAGGCCCCAATGGCTGGGTTTTACTCTGTGTTTCTGGTGAGGGAGGACAGATTTAGACTTACTGGTGTCCACAAACTGGACAGGTTCATGTCCAGGGATCCATGAGTATTCAGGGTTGTGTTCTAGTCACGCCATGGAATCAGTTCAGCCTGATTTGTGTGTTCCCCCTCTCAAACACCTAGCCTATCTGCTTTATAAGAAAGATGGTCAAGACTCCTAGCAAGCTCTACTTGGGTCCTACTGGACCATCCAAACCTTTCACAAGGTTCCATGTTCCATTCTGCTTCACGGTCTCTGGCTTTGACGACTTGGCTGTCAAAGCCCAAGTCCTGAGAGGCAGAGTCTTTCAAGACAACTATTCCCATCTTGCAGAAGGCCTAAAAGCTCTCATCTCGTAGGGTTTAGTACAGCACTTTGCTTGGTGCCTACTCTGCCTTGGTGGTGCTGTTCCAAATACTTTTAGCTTCCCAGTCTTTATTTAGAGCCTTTGGACAAGACATCACTCACATTGAACTGCTGGTAAGCTCTCCGTTAAGTCTGTAGGACCTCTGACTGGTGGTGGCCATCCTTCAGAGACCACCTATTTGGGTAATTTTTCTTCCTCTCTCTTTCATGCAAGGTTGCCTTACTTGTGGATATCGCCTTGATCAGAAGAATGTCTGAACATGGCCTTATCCTTAAAGAAAGATCAGATTGTTTTAGGACAATGGTCTAAGCATTAACTCTCCTTTATCTTTTGATTTACAATTAAGAGAACAGGATTTTTTTATTTACTTGTAAAATTCCTTTCTTCGATTACATCACAGGATATTGCTTGCTAACAAAATTGTAACAATGCTGGGTGTGGGTGGGGTGTGCAGGGCTTTGCTATTTGCCAGTGTTCAACTGGCAATCAACTGGAGGTGGAGCATAACCCCCGTGTTCTAAGAATTAGCTCTCCAGTGTCCTGTAATGTACTCCAAGACATTTATTTTACTGGCAAGCCAAAAATCCCATTTTGTCCTACCAGACTTTCCCTGAAGCCGAGGGTTAAAGGTGTGCTATGTTAGCCCTCAGCTATTATCTGGCTGGCCTTCTAGTTTTCACTTACCTCTTTTGTGCAGTCCAGGGCTAGGTATTCTAGGTTTCTTCTTTTACACGAGTAAACCTTTTTCTCTGATCAACTTAGCTGTTGGTTTAAAATTGTATTCTGCTATTCAGGTAATTATTGTTGTGCCACCTGTTTTCTTGTAGCTCATGATTGGTTCACCTCCATATTGTCCGCTGAAAGTCACCAGTTTTTCAGGTTTCCCTTTAGTGGTGATTACCTGTTCTAATTACCTGTTCTGGAACTCAAGATTGATCCCTATGTTCCATATTTGCTTACCTTTTTTATCTAGCCTTTTTTTAGACATTGACTCTATCACATACTCCATTTAGCAAGATTTGAACGTTTCCACACCCCTCAGATTTTGAACATCCCAATGTCTAAGAATTGCTACATTCCTGTGTCCCTTAATGGACAGTAAAGAAAGCAATATTTTTTACTTACTTTTTCTTGAAGTCCACTTAGGGACACAGATCTCACCCTGTCCTATTGGCCTTCTGTACTGCTTGCTCACAGTGCCTTGCTCAGTGTCCAAGCCTCCTGAAGGTGGCAGTATAACCCAGTGTCTAAGAATTACTATAATGGGCTTCAAGAATAGAAATTTTGTGGCAAAAACTTCTGTTTAAAGTTATTACTGCACATGTAGCATGCCAATAAAAAAACAACCTGTACTTTAGCTACTGAATTACCTACAGAGTTGATTATATCCTTTTGACCACAGAGTTCCACATTTGTGTGGCTGGGTTTCTAAGTCCTGAAGCCTGTGCTGCATTGCTTCCTCACTCTTCACTTGCTGTGTCACTAGATTCAAATGTTCAGGACAGTTTTCCATCTGATTGATGAGAAACTTATTTTATATGTAGTTTGTTTACCAGGCTTTCCTGTATGCAAGTGAAGGGAAGCATTACTGGGCATGTTGAAATTGCTTCTGTAGCATTACAGATTACTGTAAAGGATCCCCAGATTACTGACCAACGGGAGTTAGGAGGCCTAATGCTTTTCAGATATACCTAGGTGAAAAACTGAAGTTGTTAGTAGTGATCCCTGTTGTAGCAAACTTGCTCATCAGAGTTGGACGCGGAGTTCCCCTTTTTTATTAGAAGTATTCCTCAATCCTTTATTCCCTACCCCCTCCCTTCCTGAGAGGCACAGGGACAGATGTGTGTTAAAAGTTGCTGGCAGGCTAGAGCAGCAGGGGGCCCAGCGCTACAAAGCCCCCCCCATAGAGACAGCAGACTCTCTGTCCAAGGGACCTGTGTGATTTCACACCTCGGGGAAGAATGACAGAACCTTCTCAAGAGTTCAAGGCATTCCCCAGAAGCACAAACAAGATAACATTTTTAACAGATCTGGTTTTCCCCTATGTTTCATATCATGGATTATGACAGATGTTGGTTCTAACTCAGAGTTCGCCGGACTGACCCCTCCCTAAACAGCGTATTGGCCAGTTACTCAGACCCACCCCCCTTGTTGGGGGACTTTAAAAAACACAGGCTGTAGGCCTGAGTTAAGCCAAACATATCTCCCAATTTTAACATCATAACAGCAGGAGATCAAAGACCCTTCGCTCTGCAACTTGGATCTGCTTACCTTAACATGGCAAGTAACTTAACCTTTTAACTTCTCCCTGTTATCTCTTTGCTGTACTTTTTTATTTTTATATATAAATATATATCTTAGTTACATTTCCTTTGTAAATATTTTATTGCACCTGTTTGACTCTTTTAGTAATAAATCTTTCTTTCTGAAAGTGTTACACTGTTTCTAAAGCGCTTAATTGCAATTTACGAACGATTCCTGTCTTTTGAAGAGACGCTACTGTGTTTGTTTAATCCTCTGCCCAATCGGCCTGCGGTGACTGTATTGGACAGGCGACTTTTCAACCATTACAGTGTATATTGGATAAAGAGAGTTTCCCCTTTCTCTGTACAAAAAGGGGTGGTGGCAGTGAAGGGTTAGTTGCGTAATTAACCCGACCCAGTAACAAGCGCATTCAGGCTGCCGGTGCGTCGATTGCGTTCCATTAGCTGGACAATCGTTGTGCAGGGTGCAGCTGAGTGTGGCATTGTTACGCACGCTACACCGCGGTTCTAGATTGGCCGGTCCTTTGGTCACGAGTTTGGTGAGAGAGTCTAGGGTCTGGCACCGCGGGCATGACGTATTGGTGGTTGCGGGCGTGAGATTGTCGCATGTTGAGGGTGGCGATCGGGCGACTGTGACATATGTGTGCTTTTAATTGCTCTATTTTTAAACGTCAGCTGTAGTTTATAGGCAAACAGGTTGTAAGTATTTTATTTTTCCTATCAAAGTCTGTTTTCTCATTTTCTTTGCTATGTAGACCCTTCAGGACAAGGAGATCCCATCAATGAGACACCACCATATCATTCAAGCTTGCATCGGCAAAGCAGTGCTCATCTACTGACACCCTCTATTCCTCCTCCACCACCTCCTGCTCCAGCTACCGAGGAAGATACAAATAAAGAAGATGTTATATTTTTCTAGATGCATCACTGACTTTTTATACACTTTTCATGGCACAGACTAAAATATTGTGGATTAATGCTTTTACCACTAAGGCCTTTTTTATGAAGTTTTAAATAGGTTAATTAAATGGAGTCTGTACAAGTAACAGGTTTTAAAATGGTGTGGCATTCAGTCCAAAGAATAATGAAGGGATATTCACCAGTAGATTTGCCAAATGCAATATAGTTTTTTTTTTTTTGTTTTTTTATTTTTTTGTTTTTTTTTTTTTCTTGTTCTGCTAACCATGTGGGCTTACGACCTGACATCTCTGTTCCAAGTGCAATTGGAGTGAAGTCAAAGGTTAATGGTGCATCTGTCTGTCAAACTGAAGCGTGGCCTGCTGGACAGGACTGCTTAATATTTAGGTTAAAGTGATGTCCTATACTTGTTGTTTTGTCTCATAAACATTTCCTGAGGGCCAAAAAGAATTGGTATTACCGACAGCCTGTCCCTGCTTCCTTTAGTATTCAATAAGTAGCATGTCTGCTATTAAGGGGTCTGTTTATATCTATGTATAAAATACACTGTGTGAATGTATAAGCATTCCCGAAAAACAGTTGTAAATAATTTCTTTGCTAATGTTTTTAAAATGTTCAAAATTTATTTTTTTTAAATTTCAGTTCTTTTGCAGTGCAAATGTACCACACATTTGGCTAATCCTGTTTGTTCCAGTGTTGTCAAATCAAATGTAATTATACAATATGTAAACTATTATACATGTTGTATGGTTTTCTTTGTAGCATATAAGCAGAACTGGATGCTGCATATTTTAAGAACATTCACTCCTGAGGCTGCATTCACACCTGAGCATGCCAACAGTTTGAACAGGCACCATAAAGAACAATTGATTTGTATCGATGTATACAGTTTTTTTAAGGTTTTTAGTAACTTCAAGCTACAAAACGTTGAGGCGTGAATGCAGCATGAGAGAGAAAATACCTTAAGTACATTCAATCTTTAGAGAAAGTACTCTACAAACATTCAATCAGAAAAGAAAGTACTAGATTTGAAGGTGCTGCTCGAGGCTCCAACAGGTTGTCTTCCGTACTCAACTGCTGGGAGTACAGGCGAGGATGGAGCTCGTCTCAGATCCAAATGTCAATGCAAGGGAAAGAAAAAGTACTATAAGCCACACATCACTACAAGACCCTGTGTGTAGAGTGTGAAACAGCCTCAGTCCAGGCTCCAACCAGGCCACACCCCCAATGCGTTTTGTTTCATCGCTAGGGCTTAGTCATGGGGTTCCATTAAGAACATTCGATCAGAAAAGAAAACAACATTCACACAAGGGCTTTATACATTGTGCAAAAAATCCCAAAAATTTATGATTGAATGCTCATGAAATTACACAGAACGGACATACAGTTTCGCTGGACGAATAGCTATGCAGATTTTTGCATTCTAAGTAAACCCCTTAGTGTCTAAAGAAGTCAAACTTTAAGAAATCGTCCTTGTAGAATGTTTTGCTTTCTTGTGACGTGCCTCTGTGTGACAGTAATAAACCAAATTTTTATTCACCTATAGAATTAGGAACTATCTAAAAATAAGGATGTTTTGGCAACAGTGATTTGCCTGCTGTTAACAAACAGTCCTAATTGTTTTGTTTCAGTCAGCAATATCAGTTTTTAAGTAACATGGCCATTGGACCAAATGATGCAAGTGGTTTTTGTGAACATTCTGGGCTTGTTTAAATACATTATATTTTTTTGCCATTTAATAAATCACATCCATTTTTATTTTTGCTTCATTGTAGAGAATACTGTGTCATTGCTCACAGATCTCTGACCACCAACACTCTCCTTTTCCGTATACTGTATATGTAAGGCACAGCCACAGTTATAACCTACCTAATTTCTACAAACATAATAATTTTTATAGTGCCATAGTAGCATTGTCCCTGATCTATACATTTGTCTTTTCCTCCATTGATGCTTAAGCACTTTAGCAAAGAGTGCAATTGTGAAGTATTTAAAGCCACTCTGGCTAATTCAGTCCTTGATTGTATCTGTGTTGAAATGTTTATCACAGGTTATTGGTTTTAAGTTTAAAATTACATTAATTTAACCTTTTGCGATAGTAACTTTAATGACAAAACATTTATACTGTAGTTCTCAAGATGGGAAAGAAGATTTTGGGGAAGTCAGTACTTATTTTGCTGATTAATATTTTATGCATTTTGGAAGTCTGCATTAAGACCAACTCCAATTGTGTGTTCTTTCATGCTTTTAATATATTAAACTGTTACACTGCCACTGAAAGCAGTGCCAGTTTAGCCTGTAGAATAGTTATTGATCACACATGAGGGCAAAGTGCAAAGCTTGTACATTGCATAGTGTATGGCCAGCTGTGGGAAAACCTAGTGTGTTAACTTGTAGCAAGTGTAGCTGTCACTTAGCTCCTCAGTATTTCAGTGTAATTATTGAGGAGGTGTAACAACAGGGATTACATCATATCCTCTCCTCTGTCTGCTGCAATGAAAGGAACCTACAGTTCCCATCAACCACAGGAAATTGTAGTGAATGTGGGCGGGTATACTAGGCCATACGTGTTGAATATGTCTTGAGAGTCTCGGTCCGCCCACCACTGCAAGTGGGGCTGAAATACATCACTGCTTCCTGGAGAAAGAACTACAGGAGGGATGTACCAAGTGGCTGGGGGAATAGGAGGCATAGCAGCCACCCGTCTTACAAACAGGAGACCAAAGAGAATTAACCATTTGATTTGAAAGTGAATAGGCTATTTCAGAGCAACTACTGAGTGAACCAGAAGATGATATATTCAGTGAAAGTAGGAAATCAACAACAAGGGCATGTAAAGACGTTTTTGCCTGGAGTTCTGCTGTAAGCCAGTGTACATGGAGCTTTAAAGTACCGCTGTTATGAGAGAAACAGAGACTGCCGTTGCTGACCTTCCCTTGTGAAAATGCTAGTTACTTGGCTGTTTTGCATCTGTATTTTGATTTTCTGACCGGAGACTTGTTGTGGGTCAGTGACTCTGAGAAACAGAAGCATCACAGCCATACAATTAGTTTTCAACATTGTTGGCCGCCATATTTCTGTCATGACAGATTTATAATTTAGTCAATCTTCCAAAATGCCCTAAAACCTTACAGATTACAAAAAAAAAAAAAAAAAAAAAACTGGCACTGCAGCACAAGAGTACACATTCCTAAGCCATTACCACTCATCTTTAACTAGAAAATCTGCTGGAAAGTATTTTAGTTCATTAATCTTTAATGATTTTAACATCACTTTGTGATTTGGCCATATAAATGCAAGTGTAAAAAAAAAAATCCATGCACCAATGTTTGTTTCAAGTCTTTTTTGATGATGGAGGCTGGTCCTCATTCTTTAGTATACAAGTTGATGTATGATGCAAGATAAGAATTTGCACATGAAACTATTTTAAACACACTTCTTTTTTATCACTTAAGGCATGTATAGCTGACAAAAATTGTTCATTAGTCTTCGTTGTATTGAACAATAGTTCTGTTTTAGACTCTTCCATGCACTCTGTATTTTATCAGTACAAGTTTGAAAGAGACAGCAAGTTTATTAAGAAATACTTAAAGAACTATGTAATAATTCTAACACACAGAGCAGTGATATCTTGCAAGTAATTGCTAACAAATTGTGGAATCCAAAATCTGTTTAGTGTAGTGAAACTGCAAATGTGTACATTTCTGAGATTTGTCGTCTTTACTTTTTTTTTTTTTTTTTTTTTTTTAACTGGCAGTGTACGTTTTTGCTTGCTCAAATTGGAAATACTTGTAACTTGGAAAAGACCCAACAAATGATCAGTTTTTAGTCAACAAAAGAGCTACTAGTCCATAAAACCATGGGCAGGGGCCTGAGTAATATACACAGGACGTTTAAGGCATTTAACACATTTTCTCATTGTTGCGAAGCATTTAATGAACAACAAGAAGCATCTTAATTTGACAGCTTCTAAATGAAGTACTTGTATTAGACAGACTAATGGCATTCTTTCCTTACTGTCATTCATTGAAGTAGCCTCTTAAATGTCAGTTCAGTGCTTCATTACTGAGTAAATGAATCCAGTCCTTGGTTTTCAGTACTGCGTAATGCACTTCATTTTATATATATATATATATATATATATATATGTATATATATATATGTGTGTATGTATTTGACTACTTCCAAATGTCCAGAGCTGTAGTACTTATCTGATTTGGGCTCTCTAGCTTACCTTACAATGCATGTATGGGTTATGATGCAAATTATAGGTGCTGGGAATTAAACTTATCTTGGTTTCCGGGTTAAAATAAAATGTATTTAGGAGTAAAATACAACAAACCCAGTGGTGAATGAATGTATAGTTTTGTAAATATAGCATTCTATTTTTTCTGAAATGTATCATATGTAATGTGTCACAAACTATGTTTCTGTTGTGTGTCTCATGAACAAATACTACCCTGCAGTATATAGCTATGCTGACACAGGTAGATAATTCTGTATGTTTAAAAGTGGGTGTAATTTGTTTTATTAAGCAAGAATAAACTGAATTTCACAGCGTTCATAATGTCCTGCCTCTTATGAATCTGCATTGTTAGTAATTAAAAAAGAAAAGTGGCATAACAATTTGTTTTTGCTTTTTTTTTTTCTCTAATGAAAATATTTTGAAATTTTACGTTTCATCAGCTATAGTTACAAATGATCTAAATGCCTTATTTCCTCTGAAGCTTGAAGACCTGCATAAATATCACAATAGACACTGGCATCCCAAAATAAATCTATAGAAACATATTTTGTTTATGTGAAGTAATAGTTTTTTTACAGTGTCTAAATAGAATTGAATTAAAATTAATAAAAAATACTTTTGTTCTCAAACATCTTTCAATTACATAGTTAAACTTAAAAAGATAATGACATAATCAAGTTGAAAAAAGACACTCCAGTTTGTTCAACCAGTAGAATACAATAAAAAAAAAATGAAAATGCCCATACAAACATTGC